TCGAGCAGGTTGGCGTTACGAACTGCGAACCACAGACCATTGCCAAGGGTCAAACTTATATATATACCCCCCAGCATTAAAGTTTCATGAATCGAATGGAACGCACGAGGCAGTCACAATGTGTCTAAAGCTGTGGACATCGTCGAAAACCTAAATCTTATTCTATTATTATCTCTATTGTAGAGCAGACGGCTGCGGATGCGGCTGCGGCTGCGACTGCGCGGCTGTGGATTTCAAGACGGGTGGGCAGAAGAGGAAGAAACAAGAGGACGATGAGGATAAAGAGGAGGACGGGGAAGGCGAAACCGAGAGAGTGGATCTGGACCTAGAGCAGATGCCGTATTCGCGAGGGGGAAAAAACAAATGTTCTCATGGCATACGGGGTGGCGTGCTTCAAGAAGGCGCCCATCGACAGGAAAATGAAGGACCCGGGGTTCGATGGGGAAGGAGCGAAGAAAGCAGAGGAGCTGGGCAAAATAACTGCAAGAAAAAGTTCCGGGCACTGGCGAAGAGCCAGATCGAAAAGGGGCGGCCCCGCACGACCCTGTGGAGGAGCTTCTGGTCGAGTGGGGAGTCCCTCCGAAGACGTTCGGGGAGGTAGCGGCCTGGCCGACTACGGGCGCGCGATGCGGCTGCCCGCCGCGGCCCCGGCGTGCGCCGAACGAGTGGAAGGGAAGCGCCGGGGGCACAGGTCTGTAGGAGAGGTGAGTGTGCCGAGGAGGTCGGCTGCGAGGAGGGGGGTCAGAGTGTGCGTGAGCGTAGGTTTCCGGGTGTTTTCGGGGGTGGGGTTCTGAGCCCGGTGAAGAGAGGCCTGCCTGCTGCTGGTGACGGAGAAAAATCATAAAAGTAATGATGTCCTGTTACTTCAAAGGCAACTCAAGTCTTGGTTGAAGAATGGGGTGTCGGGGCAGCTGGGACGGCGGGATGCGATCAAGTTCGTGTTTAGGAGCCTGTGTGTCTTGAAGTGTGTGTGTGTGTGGGCATCCAGAAAGTTGGAGTCAAAAATCGGGTCTAGTCCTAGAAGGTCTCAGGGAACAAATGCACAATCCCACTGGGTGGGATAACGGGTGGAACACTGTAGAATTAGCGTTCCCTAGGAAGCATTGTTCAATGCTACGCCCATCTGCTATCCCACTTTCTGGGATTGATGGCCGTGGTATGCTACGTGCTACCTTCCCCCCAGGGGCAGGGTTTAACCCGAACAAAGGGGGCAGGACAAACAAACGGAGGAGGGTGACATGCCATTGGCCAGTGGGTGTTTTCGGGGGTGGGGTGCGTCGTCTGGAGGAAAGAAACCCGGCTGCCGGTCGCGACGGAGAAGAAGAAGGAATCGAGAATGTCGATTTAGTTCAGACTTCAAAGGCAGTGCCGATTCAGCTTCGGCTCAGTGTTGACTCTTGGTGGTCTAGCCCACTCAGCTTCGACTTCGATCCGACTTCTCTGGCATTGCCGACTCCGCTTTGACTTAGCGTTGTTTGTATGTTTTTTTCGACTAAATTCATGACTTAGTGCGAGACTTGAAGCTGCCGCCTCCGCCCGGGCAGCCCCTGCTGTAATCGGGACATTGCCAGTAGTTGTCATGCGGCCCAGTTCCTTAGAAAACGAGCAGGAACCCCTGAATGCAAGCGCTGTTCGGGGAATATACACACGCGTGCGTGTGTAATTGTAGCTCTCGACTAGTCGGCGCCGTATCATGCTGTGCGTGTGCGCGGCCATTTTGCGTCAAAACAAAATCCGCACGCGTGCGCAGGACGTGGCAATTTGTTGCGTGTGCTTGGGTGGCGCGAGGAATAAGTTGTGTGCTCGGTAATTATGGAAGTGGCGTCGTCATCCGCGAATGTTTTTGTTTCGTAGCGTTTTCGTCGACGTTTGATTTGGAAGTGCGTAACATGCCGCATGTCTGGCCGCACCATATGTTGTGCGTGTTTGCATGTCTAAAGCTGGTGGTGCGTGGGGGGCGGCGCAGTGGCCGCCGGCAGCGCCAGCCATTAAGATTTTGATTCCAAGATTAAAGAAGAAAGGGGTCTCGGAACAACCGGGAAGGCGGGGTGCGTTTGTGTGTGTGTGTGTGTGTGTGTGTGGTGTGTTTGTGTGTGTGTGTGTGTGTGTGTGCGCACGTCGTGCTTGCGTGTGCCATGCCGTGCTGCGGTGCGACGCGCCAGTGGGAGGACGGCGCAAACCTTCAGTGGACGGACGTGCGGGTGTTTGCACATCGGGCATGCGTTTGCCATGCCGTGCCGCAGCGTGAAGCATCGGTGGGAGGACGGGGCAGATTTCCGGAGGATGGGCAGTCTTGCCATTCCTGTCCCTTCGTCTCCCATCTCCTCGTCCCCTCGTCCTCCTCCTCCTCCTCCTCCTCCTCCTCCTCCTCCTCTGGCCGACGGGGAGGTTGAGGCTACTCGGTGCGGGGGCCTGGTGCTCCGAGCCAGCAGACTTGGGGGGGTGCCCCAGCCCGTCGGTCTTGACCCCCCGTGGAGGGCTATGATCCGGTAAGCTGCGGGGGTGCCAGCCCGTCGGGCTGGATACCCCTCGGTGGGCTGAGCTTCTGCTTTTCCAGTTTCCTCGGGAGCAGCGGGGAGGGGGATGTCGCGCGAGGAGGGGAGCTTCTTGGGCCGTCGTCGTTGTGGGCGCGGTGTGCGTCGCGACCGAGATTTCGTGCCTCTGGCACGCGTGTGTGTGTGTGTGTGTGTGTATATGTGTGTGTGTATGTGTGTGTGTGTTTGTGTGTGTGTGTGTGTGTGTGTTTGGCTTAGATGTTGAAGCGCATGTCAGTTTCTTTGGAAGTATTATTGTTCGGCCAGCCCACCCCTTCACCCGAACCAGGCAGTAAGGAATCCTTGTTTGTTGCCGCGCAATCTGAATGACTGTGTGTGCGTGTGTAAAAAAGAGAACTACTTGTCTTTTCCACAGTGGGGATCATTCATTGAATTCATGTAAATTGATTCTATGTGCTGGCCGCACAGGAAGTATCAGTTTTTGAACCACTTGCCGTGGGATTTGTTTGTAGGCCGCACAGTGTCAATCAACTTGTCAAGTCCCATGTGTGTATTCGACATGTGGGATGCGATCGTTGACGCCGTGACACATTGCTTTTCGGGGCAACGCAAGGTCGCCGCAAGCGCGGCGAGCAATAATCAGTGTGGATGCTACGCAAGGATGCGAGGCAACGCCCTGGAGGTCACAGCAACGCCCTGAACATGCCGCCCGTGTTTCAAGGCAACGCTTGTGATCCAGCACGACTGGGAGAGGGCAAAAGAGAGAGAGAGAGAGAGAGAGAGGGAGATAACGAGAGAGAGAGAGAGGGATACAGAGAGAAAGAGAGAGAGAGAGACAGAGAGAGAGAGAGAGAGAAAAGAGAGAGAGAAAAGAGAGAGAGAGAGAGAGAGAGAGAGAAAGAGAGAAAAAACGCGAGAGAAGGAAACCAACAGGAGGACACTGAAACGAGGATTGCCGTGCAGCAGCGCATTCGATGATGGAAACACGGTCCAGGAAGCAGGCAACAAACATGAACAACGATAACATAACTGCTGGGATGACAACTTCAGATAGACACGTGGATCACAGGAGTGGTCTCTCGCATTTCTAGATGTACACATGTGTAGGTGTATGTATGTTTATAAATGTATGATTATGCATACTATATATGTAGATGTGTATGTACATGTGCACATCTATATCTATATTTATATATGTAGACGTTTATGCATACGTGTTATGCATATCCATATGCATAGGTATATATATTTGTACCTGATACATATGTATATGTATACACATATGTATGTATGGTTAAATATTTACGTATTTGTATATTTCCAGATATGTATATTTCTATGCCTATGTATCTATAGTTGTGCAGGCATATCTATACACATGCACATGTCTATGATTACGTATAGTGTACGTATACGTATTTGCCAACGTATTTGTATATATTTATATATAAATCTGTATTATATAGGTATGTTGAGTCATATGTAAATGTATATGCATATGCATAGGTATATGTTTATGCTAATGTATACGTGATTACACATGTTTATGTATGTACACGTATATATACACATATATATATATATATATATCTATATGCGCAGACGTCTGTGTGAGTGTATCTTGTTATTCACATAATCAAACACACATAGTGCAATATCATCTGCCTTGATGTCGCGATGTGTCCACCCGTGTGTTGAAGTGTACGTCCACTGCGACTTGATGGCATCCCTATCGCATGGAAAGCGTGGTGCATGGTGGATTCCCAACCCTCCTGTGTGCTGGGTCTTCGTTTTGATTTCGCAGTGCTGCGCGTCTCCTTCCTTTCTCATCTTCCCGCTCCTCATTTCTTTTCCCTCGTGCTTGTCATCATCATCCTCATCGTTGTCAACACCATCGTCGTCGTCAGCGTCATCGCTTTCATACTCGCGGCACCCATTATCATACACCTCACAGTTCCGCCACCCCCGTTACACGTTTCGGTACAAAAGAGATTCCACCGAAGGCCCCAGTGGCAGGACCCGCATGGGGTCCGTTTTGGTACAACCTTCACACGTTTCATGACCCATGGGGAGCTCCACCGAAGGCCCCAATGACAGGGTCCGCATGCGCCTTATCCGTGTCATTCCTTACCATTGTGCTGCATTCGTTCCGTATCCCAAGCGGCTCATACGTGTTTGTTTCGTCAACAGGATGTGCACGCGTATGCGTGCGCTTGCTTTTGGCTGCAAAACTATGCACGGTGTTTGCAAGCTGCTTTCAGCTTGCTCGATATGTGTACATGTTTATGTATAGCTCGCGTATGGGCATCCTTATGTATATGCTTATGTATTTTGTTATTAACTGGTGTAGAGCGCGACAAGAGATCTTGTCGCTGCGACTAAATCATGGTGTACTTGTTTGGAGGTATACGTATGTGTGCACGGCGCAGGTGTGTAAGTACTTACCTTTGAATCACCCGTGGCTGTGATTGAGCCATTTCGGCTGCTCAGTTGCATCGGCCTGGGATGCGCGCCGTGTCAGTTAGAGGCAAACACTGGCTTGCAATCGGCTTGCTGGTACTTCTGCAGTTGATCTTGTCGGAGCACGGACAGACTGCGGTCTTCTCGCAGGCACGCGCACACTATTTCTGCTGCTGGGGGTGGTGAACTGGATGTGCAGGCCACGTTTGGTAGCAGCTGTGGGCGCAGGGAGGAACATGACGAGGATGAGAAAGGAGGGAGGATAGAGGAGGTCGGAGGGGCAGGATTACACGCCGGTCGTTGACAGTAGGTATTTTGGATATCCAGATCCCAATCCACTTCGAGCGCCTTCCTACTTCAATAATCGACATGTTTTTTGTTATATTTCAAGCGGGCCTCAGCCAAATATACCTAATCCGCCTTCCGAGGGGCGGGTACGCATAAGCCATGCCGAACCCTGTGCTGCTTTTGACGCTCGACGTTGCGACGGTCCCCGTGACCGCTACTCCCGAGCATCGCAGAGCTGCTGCGACCCGTAGGGCTTGTGCGGTTGCGTGTCGCGCCCAGCCGTGAGGGATGGATGCGTGCTCATGCGATTGGACAGGGCCTCCTCGTCCTCCTCCGCATGCCTCCTCCTACTCATTCCTCCTCCTCCGCTCCTCATTTCTATTCTCCCCCTCATCCTCCTCCTCGTCCTCCCGCTCTCTCCTCTTCCCCTTCCCGGGCGAGAAACGCCATGGGATGGGTGCTCCCATTTTGGCCTGGCGATCAAATCGGCAAGTTTCGTTTTCTCTCCTAGCCGATGATGACGCTGCTGCGGCTGCTGGATGATGATGATGACGATGACGACGACGACGACGACGACGACGACGATGATGATGATGATGATGATGATGATGATGCTAATGATGATAATGTCGATGATGATGATGCTGATGTTGATGCTGACGCTGTTGATGATGATGCTCATTATGATGATGATGATGATGATGATGATGATGATGATGATGATGATGATGATGATGATGATGGGGAGGAGGAGAATGAGGAAGAGGAGCTCTCGAGCGTCATGCCGAGCCGCCTGGACCA